ACACTACTACACTATGAATAAAATGTAAACACACTGTAAAAGTTCTTTTTCTTTGAAGCAACTATTACTACTACACTAATTAATCACATGACTACTACTACTACTGTTGCTGCTACTACAACTACTACTTCTACTGCTACTACTGCTGCTACTAGTATAGTATTACGACAGCTTTTACTAATACCGTCAAAAATGTCAGTACTTTTAAATATTTTACTGTTGTTTGATTACTGAAGATGTTACAAATATTTTACGGTGTTTACTTATCAACATTTTTTCGCCTGTCTCTACCAATTAAACTTTAACGTTTGAAAAATTTTAATTTAAAAAATTTGAAAAAATGAAAGAATATGTAATAATAATAAAGTATTTTTTCTAGTTTTGTTTAATTGGGATTTAATTCCAAGGACGTCTGGCTTATTTTTCAGGTCAAACGAAATAAAAACGTAAAAAGACTCTACTGCTGATGCAATTAGAAGCTCTGCTTATTTGCATGTAAATGTTTGATCACTCTCTTTATTATTACCATTTAAATTAACATTATGTTTATCGCTAATTCGAATGCGAGAACTACTACTACTACTACTACTACTACTACTACTACTACTACTACTACTACTACCACTACCACTACCACTACCACTACCACTACTACTACTACTTGCCTCTTACTACTACTGCTGATACTATTATCATGATTATGATTGTTATTATTTTTATAATTTTAGTTGGTATTATTATTATTTTCATTAATATTATTTTTATTATTATTATTTTTATTATTATTATTGATGTTGTTGTTGTTGTTGTGTTATTTCCCAGATGTGTTTAGCAAATAACTTTCAGTAATAATGCTCCTTTCATTCTAAGCAATTTTTTAACGTTTGTTAATCACTTTAATTATTATTCTCATTATTTCCGTTTATTGTTATTGTTATTATTTTTTATTGTTGTTGTTGTTGAAATTTTATTGTTGTTGTTATTGTTGTTGTTGTTGTTATTATTATTGTTGTTACTACTTTCGAAATATGATAAATCATTAGCTATTGATTGCCGAATGAATGGGTCGGCTATGTAGAACACCTATCATTGTTGTTAATAATAATATTATTATTTTTGTTATTATTATTATTGTTGTTGTTGTTGTTATTATTGTTATTATTTATTACTTTGATCTTTGTCTAATTTTTTTTCATTTTAAAATGAATAATGTCTTATTCAGTGGTTTTATCTCTGGGTTGAAGTTCCCTACCACCAAGTTATAATAGATGAAAGATATTAGCTCAAGCAGTGTTTTAATTTAAAAACGCTTTTCAATCATGTATTCGTTCGTTTGTTAATTCATCCGTTCTTTCGTTCATTCATTCATTCGTTCGTCCGTTCGTTCGTTCATTCATTCATTCCATTCTTTCTTATCGAAGTTATTAATTAAACAGATAGTAAAAAGAATACTAATGTGGGTAATAGTATAGACGATGATGATTGTGATGATGACGAGGATGACGACGGTGATACTGATGATGATGATGGTAATGATGATGATGATGACGATGATGGTAATGATGATGAGGATGATGATGGTAATGATGATGATGGTGACGGTAATGATGATGATGATGATGATGAAGAAGATGAAGATGATGATGATAGCGTAAAGTAATTGTGGAGCTATCAACGTTCATTTTATCTTCATTCCTCATCAATTTTTAGTAAATAAACGATGATAGATAGATGGATGGATGGATGGATGAATAAATGAATGATAGCACAAAAAACAAACTAATAAATGAGTGAATGAGTGAATGAATGAATGAATGAATGAATGAATGAATGAATGAATGAATGAATGAATGAATGAATGAATGAATGAATGAATGAATGAATGAATGAATGAATGAATGAATGAACAAACAAACAAATGAATGCAGGAATTAACTAACAATCAAATGAATGAAGGAATAAATGGATGGATGTATGGTTTTAATCTTATCATCACATGACTCAATATCTTTTTATCTCTATTATATTACCAATAAATTGCATATAATTATTGTTTATTATTATTATTATTGTTGTTGTTGTTGCTGTTGTTGTTGACGTTGTTATTATTTTTGTTGATAATATTGTCATCCTTTTGAAGTTTTATAGTATGATTTCACTACATAGTCCTACTTTGTTTTTTCTAGATTCTACGGTTGATTGCTGGCATTGATGTCATTTTTGTTGATGTGTTTGTTGATGTTTCTTTGTTGTTAATGTTTTTTTTGTTGTAGTTGTTGTTGTTGTTGTTGATGTCTTTGTTGATGTTGTTGTTATTAATAATGTTTTTGTTTCTATAAATAGTTATCGTTTCAAATTTCTAAGACATTTATAAAAATCTTTTTCAAATAGGACTGGTTTAAAATGTTTTTTTTCATCAGTACCTACATTAGCGTATATATATATATGTGTGTGCGTGTGGTGTTTGTGTAGTGTGTATGTGTGTGTGTGTGGTGTGTGTTGTGTGTGTGTGGTGTGTGCGCATCAAAGAAAAGTGTTTTTTTTTCAACTAGTAAATAAAAAAAATTTGTTGCCCTTATTATTCAATCACTGCCATTAATACCATCTGTCATTTATTTATTTTTTCATTTTACTTTATTGTTATTATTATTATTATTTTTATTTTTCTCCTTATTATTATTATTATTATTATTATTATTATTACTTTATTTTTTTCTATGACATGATATTTATAATGCCTGGCGCAACTGTTGATATGGTTTATGTGCTTACTTATCATCGATGATATTAACGAGAAGAAATATTTTTTTTTGTTTCTGTTTTTTTCTTTTTTTTACTATCCCTCCTCTTTCTCTCTCTATCTTTCTCTCTCTCTCTCTCTCGTTCTTACTCACTCTCTCTCCTGTATAACATGTTATGGATAATTAATGAGTCCACAAACACAGACAAATATTAAAAATGTTATTTACAATTACAAAACAAAAACTATAGAAAAAACGTGACGGGCATATCGCCCTGCTCATAATTTAGTTGCTTCATTTTTTTGTTTGGTTTGTTTAATTTGACTGACGCTTATTATCTCATTTAGTTTTTCATTTTGATAGGACGCACCTCTTACTCATGTGTAAAAGGTGCATTTTATTATACTGTATGTATGTGTGTGTGTGTGTGTGTGTGTGTTTGCTTCTTTGTATGTATTATACTGTGTGTGTGTGTGTCTGTGTGTGTGTGTCTGTGTGTGTGTGTGTGTGTGTGTGTGTGTGTGTTTGCTTTTTTGTATGTATTATACTATGTGTGAGTGTGTTTGTGTGTGTCTATGTGTGTATGTGTTTGCTTCTTTGTATGTATAATACTGTGTGTGTGACTGTGTGTGTGTGTCTGTGTGCATGTGTTTGTTTCTTTGTATGTTTGTGTTATCTTGTCTGCGTGTGCTTCTGTTTGTGTGGGTATGTATGTATGTATGTATCTGTCGCGATAAAATGTGAATTGTACATTTACGTAAGCTTATTTATGTCTGTTTATTGATATTAATAAATCAAACGGCACGTAATGCATACCTTATGATAAGTGCCTAATGAATAAGTACAGACACACACAGACATACATACAGATTTTCTAAACACGCACACATACACATACATACATACGCACAAATACTTATTGTATTTTGAAGGTACATTAGCTGCACACGTACATGTATGTATTCATCATTTGTTATTTATTATAGAATTAAGCCGCTATGCGAATATAAATTATTCTATTGTTGTTGCTATTGTTGTTGTTGTTGTTGCTATTGTTGTTATTGTCGTCGTTGTTGTTGTTGTTATTAATATGAATGCTGTCATCGGAGTTTGTCTATAAATCTAGTTGTTTCTACGTTGATTTTGTTGTGGCTGATGACAGTGACGACGACGACGACGAACGCCATGGTGCCGCTACTACTGCTGCTGCTGCGGCTGCTGCTGATGATGATGGTGATGATGCTGCTAATATTTCTATGTAACGCACAGATGGACTGTTTATGTAGGCGCGTCTACGTCATTTTCGTTAATGCTTGCAAACAAACCAAAGTAGGCCTCTTTCGCGATTTTTTTTTATATTTATTTACGCGGATGCATGTGTGCGTGAGTTTGCCTGTTCGTGAGAAGTTTATCTATGCGTGTTTTTATGTGTGTGTGTGTTTGCGTGTGTGTATATGTATGAATGCTGTATTTATATATGTAAGTATGGCAGAGACAATGCATACAATGGGTTCATTTGAGTAGTGTCTTCATGCTAACCATTCAAGTTTGAAGTTTTGTTGAAGTCGCAATTGCATAAGTGATACATATTAACTAACCTGACGGCTATGAAATGTCTTTTTATATTTATATTCAAATTAAAACAAAATTTAACTTACTCGATATTTTTCAAGTATTTGACTACTCACGGATAGAGTACTCGCATAGAGTAGACAGAATGGCAAACAAACAAACAAACAAACAAACATACTTACATACATACAAAGATCTAGATGCAAACAAACATGTAGGCAAACATACCAACAAGCACACAGACACGTGCAATATATATTTACATAATCACGTACATGTTTGTGTTTGTGTGTGTGTATGCCCGAATAACTTAACATCAACATTCACATTAACTACACATTCAATTCAAGGTCCATTTTATGTTTCTTATTTAACCTTCTGTTTTTCAACTACACAGAAACATACACACGTTCACACACACACACACACATACATATACATCATAATGATATGATATCATTTCATTTCATTTTCATTTCAGGGTGATCATGACTGTTGATGTACTTGGCTTCTAGAATGTTGGGTAGATCTCTTGTGGTGTAGTAGGATGACTGTCTGGTGAATGAATCTAGGAGGTTCTTTGTGGGGTCGATGTGGGTGTTGTATGCGTTGAAAGGTTGATCGTCATCGTCGTTGTTTGATGGTTGAGGATGTTGTTGGATAGAATTGATTGTGGAATAAGTATTGTTAACAGCCATTGTCGTGATTTATTGATGTCGCAGAATTGACATCGGAGGGAGGACCCATCGTCGATGAGGCTTGTTGTTGTTTATGTGGTTCGACCAGCTTGGAAAGGCCCATCATGACTGACTTGACTGGCTGAGTGGATTCTTCCGAAGAAGTTAAAATGGAAGCTACCTCAACTTTGTTTTCTACATGCCGATGTGAGTTGACCAGCGATGGTGTATTAACATTTGGTAGGTCAACAGGATGATGATTTGGTAGTGAAGTTGTAGTGGGTTTTATCGTATGCTGTGGTCGAGCATGAAACCACCAAGGGTGAATTTCCACGCTGATAGGCCAATTTTCAGGATTGGTAAAAATCATCTCCTGATGTTTAAAAATAGTTATGCGGAATTTTGTTGATGGATCACTGGTTGAAGGTTGAGGACGAGTGGGAGAGAATTTAAAGACTGGTACGCATTCTGCTGCGGTCAGTCCAATAGTTTCCAGATGTTCTAGGATCTCTTCTTTGACGCAGCTTTTCAATTTGCCTACCCCAAAAACAATTTTTTTGGGAGGCAAGGGAGCTGCAGATAACTTGAAGGACCCAGGTTGTTTGGAACCGACAGTAATTGGGGAGTATTTTTTCTTTTTTTTGAAGTAACAGTGCTCCAAGAGCCTTCGTGGCCACTGGAATTAGAGTTGTTTTTATTGATGTTATTGTTAGGAGTTGAAAGTGAAGAACGAGCAGGAGCAGCAACAACGTTGTGATCCACCAGCGATTGGGTTCCCTGCTTCGAGGTTTCATCAGATGGCGGTGTGCTGATTTCGGACGAAGCCGGATGAACGATCTTAGGAGATGATGCATCCGAGCTGTACGAGGCATGTTTTTGTCCTGCTGCTACCGAGTAGCTTTTAACATTGTTTACGTTAGTGTTGTTGGTATTATTAAGTTCACTTTTATGAACTCGAGGGGCTGCGTTCAGCATGCTGCATAGATAAAGTTGCTGATTGTGCAGCATATTGCATATGTCGTTTTTAATTTCGTTGAAGTTAAATTTAAGAATAGAGTCATTATTAGGTACCCGTAAGTTAGAACTAACGTAGGTGGGAAGCTCTGTTGATAAATTTTTTTCGCAGACTAGTCCTAAATAGCGAATGGTTTCGCGTAGTTTGTCCCTTTTGTCTTTCTTTTTAGGACCACGTAGTATATCGAAATTAACATCAATCTTTAGGAGATTGACGTCGTGTTTGATCAGTTTGAGGGCAGCCGAGATTTCTTTCGAGCTGTAGAAGTCGGACGCATTATTAATAAATATATCATTATTCATAAACTCGTAATTATTTGTTAAGTAGCATAAAACTTCGTTAATCGTTAAATTCTGTTTACACGCCATGATGCCGGATACATCATGATATCATATATATATATATATATATATATATATATATATATATATATTTATTTATTTATTTTTTATAATATTCTATAAATTCTACCGAATGTTTGGCG